GATAACAGTGGCACTGTCTTAGATGTCAACATTGAAGCAGTGACAGTCCTTGAGCACCATTTTTTTTCTCTTAGCACATGAAGTATAGTAAAACATTTTGGTTGGCAAAAAAAAATGTAATCATCTAAACTTATTATTCAAACCTGTCTTCTGAATGTATTTTACCCTTGAGTTAACAAAGCTCTAGTCGCTGTTGAAAAATACCCCAATTTTCTCTCCTCTCTTTTTTTATTCTCCATCCTGTTAATCTTGGATCCAAATCTCAGCAAAAAAAATGTTTGTTTAAACATGTGCTTTTGAGGAAGCGTTTTGAATCACTATGGGATAAGCTTTGGAAGATTTTGTTGAATAAGCAACGACTACAAAAAAATGCCAGCTCTCAATTCTGCTTTTTGGAAAAGATCTAGTAGAGTTAAAAGATTAATTTGGTTTCTGTATAAGTTAATGCTGCTTCAGAGCTTCATATTTCTTATTCTAACTAAAACTGTAAAATTAAAAATATTCAGTGTTTTTAAAATTACAACAGAAATTTTGTTTCCCAGAGTTCAGTATAGGTGGCTGTTATTTGTTAGTAGGATTTATGAGATTTTTCTTTTCCTTATTCTGCATTTCCATTCTAAATTTAACCTTTTCCACAGCACTGTTGTGTTTGGCCATGGAGACCTTACTTTAGATGACTGCATTTGTCAGCAGGTTTCTCTAATTGTACATGTTATTGATACTAAGAAGTCCTTTTCAGTACACACTTTTCTGTTCTTTAAGCATTGTGCCAGGCTATATGGTTAAAGTTGTTATATGTCATGGAGCCCTAGATTCAGAGACTAGCAACCAATTATCAGGGTGTTGTAGTCCCAAAATTGCAGGTGTTGATCTTACTGATTATGCACCTTTTGCATGTAGTCACCCTACATGTAGAACGAATCTGTTCACTGTGAATATGATGTCAAGTTTTCTGCTTATTTGCAGGAATGGATTTTGCAGCCTTTCATAGTGTCAGCTGGCTGCACTGATGTGGGTTTTTTTTTCCTTAATGCACTATTTTTACTTACCTTTTACCCAGGGCCATCTGAAGTGACCATTAATATTACTATATTTGTGTTATGGCCTGTGGACAAAATTTTAGTACAGTTTTCTTGCACATCTGCCTCAATGGATTCACACTGGCTCTTTGAAGAGCCATTTGAAGAATTAATTTTCTGTCCTATGTCACAAATATTATTTCATAAAGACATTGAAGAGAATACATTGTTAATTTCTCCTCCCTGGTGAAGTATCTTTTGATATACAGTTATTTCTCTAAAATATTCCAGCTTTTTTTTTTTCTGTTATCTTCTTGTACTAACGCTGCAGTTCTGAAAAATTAATAAACGTGTAATGTGTTTTCAGTAAGATCTGAACAACTAAAAGTTCCTGTTCAGTTGTGAAAATGATAATTTGTAACCCTCTAACATGGCCTTGTATTTGCTACCCAGTAGAGATGGGAAACGTGCAGTGTGGTGTGTGACAAAGCTACAAATTAACTTGGATTACACAATTTGCACTGCCGAGAGTACTCTCTCCTAGTTAGAGCAGTTCCACCCTCTATGCATTTCCCAGAAACTGTTAACAGTAGACCCTTTGCAGCAGCTGCCCAGAGCACACCTGACCCCTCAGTCTGTAAGCTGGGTTTTAAGAGGTCTGTGAGATATGAGGATCTCTCTGTCCTCATACCCACAACTCACAATCGCATTCCTGCCTGAACCTGAGTGTATATAATCCTGGGGTCTTGGGACTTCTGGTACCGCTCATGGGATCCAGAGGAGGACTAGAACCTTGACCAGACTGCAACCACTGCTCTCAACCAGACTGTGACCATCACTCACACCAACTGGTTCTTCTTCTCCTTCTACTTTTGGACCCAGGAGGCCCACGTGGGGCTCAGCACAGGGGCCAATGAACACCATTCTGTTCATGCCCGAGGGTGATGGGTTATACATCTGGTTTTCTGTGGGTTAAAACCAATTGTTCATCTTTATAATTATATATATTGTTTTGTTTTTATTAAATTGTAATTCTGACTTAAAATCTCTTTTGAGTTGGGTTAATTTCTCCTGCCTTTAAACTAGCACATATTCCCATTA